AATGACAGGAATAAATTTAAAGTAATATTTTCAATTTTGTAATAACATCTGCCATGCAAGTTTGTTTATAGATGGCAACAATTTTGCTTAGTTTGTGGAGTTTAATGCAATTTATGCATCTACATCCACAGTTGGAGCTACTAGATAATAGTCCAGCTCCCATCCTGAAAACGAGGTTCTATGATGCCTTCAAAACTTGACAAGGTGAAGGATCTTTCAACATTCCATGTTACAAACATAGTGAGACAAGGTTCTGACTGCCTCAGGAGGTGACAAATGGCTTATACAGAGAGGCAGGGAGAATGCAAATATAATTTCTCCGGTATTTCTTGCCAGTGTTATGTAATTGGCCATCAGATATTTTCTAAGGACTAAAATATCGCAGTTGCAAGTTGACTGATATCTAAAGCATGAGACAACTGGAGTCAAGGATGACTCTGATGAGAAACCTTCACTACCTTCAGGGGATTTCTGGACCATTCACCATGTCCTTTAGCAGATGCTTTTACTACTGACTTTGGAAATTCTCTCCATTGACATGAAAATATTCTCAGAAATGCAGTTAGATACATTTGTGTGGAAATCTGAGATTGCCTGCAAATTCACTTGAGCTACTTTCTTCTCTCTGAATGTTTCTAAACATTTTTTCAAATTACATCCTTCTGTTTTTTTGTTTCATATGTTATTCTTTTGGTCTCTTTGATGCCTTTGCAAACTGACAGCCTCCAAAGCTGGCAATTTATCCATTAACCATGAGCACCAAAAGGTTGTGAATTAGATATAAATCTCCAGGAAGTTGTGGAGGCATTATTACAGACAGGTCAGTCAAAAATCTTGTGCAGTACACTTTATTGGTAAAAGCAACAGGTCGGAATCAAGGCTTTCCTATGGGAACATTTGTATAACTGCAATTTCCCAGTGATGACTTCTGGTCCAGAATCATTCCTATGCATCTTAGTGCATGCCATCTAAAGACATCAGTGACAAAGGACCTGTAAATCTGTTGATCCTGAGTTCTAATTTGTGAAAGTAGAACAGGTGTTGTGCCTATGAAAGGAATTAGGAGAGGAAAGGATGTGGAAGAAGTGCAATTCCTTCTGAAAAAGATGGGGAAAAAAGTGAGCAGAAGGCAATGTAGACTAAACATAGACAAAAGCTGGATATATTTGGTACCAAACAATTTATATATTTCCTAAGCAAAAGCTTCCAAGACAAGACAAAAAAAAAAAAAAAAAAAAAAAAGAGAGAAGAATATAAAATGTCTCACTATATCTGGTATGCTTGGACCTTTTAAAGAATTATTAACATAATAAAAATACAATACACAGATGAGAGAATTACATCATAACACAAGTGGTCACCATTTTATTAGCAGTAAACTTGTTGCATTGCAAATAATTGCATCAGAATAAGCAATTAGAAGACAACGAACCCATATGGTTTAGGGTATCCCTTTGGTCAGTTGGGATCACCTGTCCCAGATCTGTTCCCTCCCAAACTCTTGTGCTCCCCCAGCCCCCACTAGTGGAGCAGCACAAGAAGCAGGGAACAGTAACACTTGAGCAATAGCTAAAACATTCCCATGATATCAACAGGGATTTCATCACAAATCCAAAACAGCACCCTGTGAGCTGCTAGGAAGGAAATAACTCTTTCCCAGCCAAACCCAGACAAAAAGGCCCAGCCCAAGTGTCAGGTGGGAGAGAAAGCACAAGGGAGTTTTTGAATGAACCAAGGAGGAGACAGGAGAAAGTTTAATATCCAGCCAGAGGCAACTAGTCTGGAGTATAGAGACCATGGTACTTAGCAAAGAATGCAGCTGGGACAGTTTAGTCACCTGTTTAACAGCAGATGCATGAGTTGGAATGTGTCAGTCTCACATACTTCTTGTCTCAGGGTTATTTCTCCTCTTAGGCAAACCAAAGACTACTTTTGGAGCAAATCATATAATCAACTCATAGCACACTTTGGCTGCTCAGCAGCAAAAAGAAGCCTTAGAGCTGCTTTAAGATTTTCTAGCACAATGAGAAATCTGAAAAGGAGGGAGGAGGTAATTTCTACTGGGCGGTGTGAAGGTCCAGGACAAAAATTACCTCAGAAGTCCAGGTTGAGGTGCTTCCCTTTTGAAGACCATTTAAAAAAATGCAAATTACAGGAGGTCAATGGTTACTTTAACATCTCGGGGTTTGTTAAGCTACTTGGTAGTTCCCCAAGATAAGAAGATGGGAGAGATGTAAAGTTACCCCTGTGTGCACTCCTCCCAGGTGGTGTGTGTGTGGTTTTAGGATACCTGGGGAGACACCTGTCCCTGCTCTGCAGTAACGTGATGTTGAACATCACTGTTATTTTTACAAGTGTAACTCTACCAATCAACTTTCTCATGAAAGTGAAAAAGAAATCTTCCACTCAGCATTAACAATATTGAACAGTGTTTCTAAAATTGTTTTCAAATACAATTCTAAAAATATTTTTACTGAAATTAACGTAACTCCACACAGAATTGGTTCTGAAGAACTACTCTTCAATTCCCTGCTAGAATGGAAGAATTATACTGCCCAGTTTGACTCAGTTTTGAAGAGCTCTAAAAACTGTGCCTACAGACAAGCACTGCACATCACCCCTACTCTTCTTAATTTGGCTTCTGTCATAGTAAAAGGAACATCAGCCATCCTCCAGGCAGTTTTGGGTGAATATAGTGACAACCAGTTTCTCAGGAGTAATTACAGAAGCCCATAGTATCAAGAACTCTACAAATACTTTGAGCATCCTCCTTCATTTATTCAACCTGACATGTTCTGCAAAACCATAGAAAAAGGCTTCTCCAACAAATGATTTAACATTTTGGCAGCCCCATTTCCCCATCAACAGTATTCTGGAAGAAAAGGAGTCCTATTTCCTGACCTTGTGCACATCAGGCATAGTAAATATAGTGTAAAGCTTAGGAATGATGTACAGCAGCTCCACAACAAGCTCTGTCATCATCTTGTTGGCATTTGCGGACCCCATATCTACTGAATACATTTCTACTGAGTGTACAAACACAAGCCTGAATTGCCTCTAAATCAAAAAGTTCTTCACATCCACCGTGTAAATACTGCAGACTTGAGAAAGATAAATTTCATTTGCAAAAAAAAAAAAAAAAAAGTCACAATGGCAATAATTCTGTGCTCAGTATTCCACTCAGAATCATTGCACTACTTAAGAGCCCTATTTGGCAAACACAGGATTCACATGGGCGTCCATAGAAGGGCAAATGTTGGTACACTCTGGGTAGCTACACTTGAATTAGTCACTGTGGGACCTCTTCACTGTCTCTAGAAATATAACCAAAGCAGTCCATGACACAGATACAAGAAGTGCTTCCTAGAAGACCCTGTGAAGAGACCCTACACTGCCTGAGATGTTCATATTTGCAGTGTAGACACCCAATGCTCAGTGAAAGAGAGCCTATGATTCATACTCGCAGTGTAGTAGGGCTCTGCAGATATACACCAAATTCTTTATAGAGTGCAACTAAGTAATACTTCAGATTTTACTATTTTGGCCAGCCAGGGACACCAATTAAAAAAAAAAAAAAAAGACAAGATTTATTCAGGATTTTATCTGAGGAACTCTCTTACAGTCATTCGGATGACATTGGAAACTTTGTTAAGTCCATATTTTCCTTCTTTGTCTCTGAAGTAAAGCAAACAAAACATTAACATGTCAGGACTGTTGTCAAAAAAGGCCATCACAGCTTACTTCTCCAATTTAAAAGAGATTTCTGTTTCCTGTGACACTGTGTACACCACTTTCAGCTCCTAAAAAGCACGACAGTTGCTATGAATGCACTTAAGATCTCTGTCAGTTGTTTCCCATATTTTTCCCCTTTAACCATATCTACAACAGTGCAGTCGTGAGATTCTTCATTTCATTTCACATTTCATTTCATCTTTTCCATATCTGTATAATATGTGTAAAGTGGATCCTCAGCTAATTTCATCATGAATCACGTTTGCTAAAATTACCTCTTTACTTGGCCTTTTAATGATATAAAATAAATGAATTAAGTGATTTGTACTTCCTTTTGCTATCTTAGCTTATTTAAAAGTATTGCTTCCTTGCTACTTTTTACAAACATAATTTGAGAAGGTTAGTGATAACCATGTGCACTAAATATCAAAATTCTGTCTGTTATCCATATCACTTTCTACACTGCTATTAAAATCTTTAATTCCATAACATAATAAAAAACTTTAAATATTTTATCTAGCTTGAGTGGAAACTAATGTCAGTCTAATGACTTTGTTGTAAGTATAAATTAAGCAGACTAATTCTGAGAATATTTAGCACTATTTTTCTTGATGTTGTCATTCAGAATAAGACGTATATGTAACATGAGCTGGTAAATTTACAGATAACTGCAGTCAATCAGCAGGCTAAGCATTCCAGCCTGCTTTTGTTCTGTTGAAAATTTTCCCTTCCAAGTTTTAGCAAATTACTAAAGAAAGAAAAGGTTGTTTGGGGTCAGAATTCAGTAAAGTATTTGAATATTTAGACTGGTAAATTAATGAGACTTAAACATGTCTTTAAAATTAAATTCATGTATAAAGCATTGCAAAGTTCACTGGAGCAGAAGGACTGAGAGAAAATATCTCTTTTAGTGATAATCCATTCTTTAACTGGCTCATTCTTCCCGGTTTGATTGTGTTTATGGGAGTTTATGAATCTGATGCTTGCTTTGAGCTCACTGACATGGTATAATCAGCTGGAATGGTACCAGCTTGTGTGTCTAAGTCTTGAGTTCCTGAGGCTGAATTTTCTACTGAAGTCAACTGGCTAGAGATGCTGCATTGCAAAAATGTGTTGGAGTAGAGATATAACATTTTCATCATGTAATGTAGAGCAAAGAGTGAAAATAATGCTATAGCCTTCAGAGCTATTTAATGGTCAATTACATCACTTCACAGTCAATTTTACATATTAGTAAGTGGTTTCTACATACATATTTTTCTGTTCAGGTCAACTTCTATGTGAGGGTGAAAGCAATTTATACCCTTGGACACAGCGTATCTCTGATTGCTCTTACAACAGGAAGTATAATTCTTTGCCTTTTCAGGTATGTATTTTTCATGAGTAAACTAACAATGATAAGATGGCTTTAACTATTGTCTGATTGCTTATATATTTAGCAAATGCCTTGATTTTACACTTTTGTCAGTTAAAGAGCTGACAATAATGTAAGCTGACAATAAAGCTGACTTGATTTTTGCTAGCACTGATAATATTAAAAAGTCTCAAAGCACTTTACAAATTTACAGGCATTGCAGCTGATTCAAGAAAGAATAGTCATTTAGGAATTGATTATATAAAGCACTTTCTATTTGATTATTAAAATCAACACCTTGAATTGCTCTTGAGAATCAGTAGGATGCCAGGCACAACACTGGACAAGTGGGCAGTGGGATTTTGCAGAAGCTTCTGAGTAGTCTCCAGGGTTACTGTAATCAAGGTAATGGTTAATTTATCCAAGTGGGGTTGTAAATCACAGAATCACCTTCCAAGATCATCTAGTCTAGCAGTCAACCTAGCAACCTTATCAATCATCCCTAAACCATGTGTGCATGTACCACATCCAGGCTCATCCTGAACACTTCCAGAGACAGATTCCACCCTGGAGAACTTATTCTAATACCTGACTGTTCTTGCAGTGAAAAGAGAAATTCAGATATCTAATCTAAACCTCCCCTGTTGCAGCTTAAAGCCATTGCTCTAATCCTTTCTCTTGAGCCATGGCAGAAGAGGCTGAGCCCCAATCACTGCAAACAAAGCGTCATATGTAGGGTACAGCGTGTTGTTTGCCAGAGCCTCATTCCCCTGATGAACTATTCCTATGGCAAGTTCTGTAAGCATTTCAATCCGACACCAAATTTTCTCAATATTTAAATATTCATAGACTATTCAGAGCAGATATGCAACCCATAATTATATTTGGAATACCTCTGAAAAACATTGAGTCACTCGTGGTTATATTCTACCAGCAAATGTTACTGGCAGAACGTGCATTTTCAAAATTGCTAAAACCTATCAGTGCATTTAATACAGACCATTACAGACACCTGAACATTGCCCATCACCAGAAGTCAGTTGTAATACACAGATCAAGAATTTAGGAGGTGAACTCAAGACCTTCAGCTTCAGTTTAAGTATCCAACTTGAGAACTCCCCAGTCTCCTTGCTGAGTCAGTGAAAAGAGAGATTTTTTCAGAGAAGAACACTGGGTCTTCTAACCCCCCACACACTTCGAGAAGCCTGTTTCTCTGTTATCTGCAGGGAATGTAGGGTCACCTAACATAGTGAGTTGATTTAGGAACCCAAATAAGTTGTAAAAATGTCCTGTTAAGTATCCCAAGCACACATCAAGAAGCCAATTGTGGAAGGCTACAGCTGAGGCAGTTGTAAATGAAATAATAGAAGTGAATGCAAATGGTTGTGTGTGTAAGTCTGTCTGTCTCTCAAACATGTTGTATCATTACATCACAGTAATTTTTAAGGACAAAGTTTGGAAAATAAGAATGTGTCTCTAAGTTTTAACTTTTCTCTACTCAGCTGGTAACATCTCCTATCCAAAAAAAAATATAATTTGCCATGAAATGTTCAGAGGTTCTATATAAATAATGCCAATACACTGTTTATAAAAATCAGTCACTCACCCCTGAGACACATTCACCTTTGAATTTAACTAGCAAACGTTCACCTTGCTGTCATTAAAAGCAGAGGAAAGTTCTCCTCTAAGTGAAACCATCTAAAAGAGATTTGGAAGTTAAGAAGTGAGTTAAAACTCAGAAGTTGCTAATGCATTAGGGTTGTCAAAATCCTGACTTCATCCAGCAGGATTAGGGTTTGAACTCTGGATATTAGTAACAGAAGAAGTTATTAAAATTTTGCATTACTGGATTTGTATGTGTATGCTTTACATTACACTAAATTTAATCCTAAATACCTACAGTATTTTCAATGCACAAAAACATGGAATAATGGGGAGTTTAATTGTAGGTAGAGTGTTCATGGAAAGGAAGTGGAAATTAATTTTTAGGAATTGATTTCTGCCGTCCATTATATATGGACTGTCTGGTAGAAGAGCCACAGTCTCAGGGTTTTGCAGGTGTTCACAATACCAGCCTCAAGCACATGAAAGGCAAAAACGGTGTGTCAGGAAAGAAGTGTTGTTTCTTAAAGTTTCCAGGCACTTGCAATATTTTGTTTTGCATATTTTTACAAAGAACTGGACTTGATTTTAACTTTTAGAGATATACTATATGGGTTCACACTCTTAGTATCTGTAAATTACACACCTACAAGCTTTTTAGAAGGTAAAGATTTTATGTCTGGCTACTCTTATAATCTCAAAACAAAGACATAAAATGTGAATATCTATAAATACCTTAACAAACTAAGCTAACAAATTGAGTTAGTATGCTGCCACTCCCCACATGGTACTCTATGTACTTATTGTAATTAAAGTTAACTGGTAACTTTCTACCTCAGCATTTTTCTGTTGGAGGTTGCCCATTGGTCAGGTACATTCATACTTCTGCAAACTCAATTTATAAACAGGAAAGCTAATAATTTTGGTTTAGTCAAAAGAAGTTGCTTTAACCTTCTTAGTATGAAAGTTTCTATTTCTTCATTTTAAGTGTTTAAGAATTAATATATCATAAAGTTCTAGAAATGTGTAAATTGAAATTTTTGAAAATAAATAGTATTTTTAGATATTTTAAAGAAGGTTGGTTTGTTAAGCTCAGTCCTGTTAAACAAAACCCTGAAAAAAGTCAATTTCTCTGATGTGTATTTCTTAACAAGGAGAAAAATGTGAATCTCTGTCATTTCTGTCAGATGTGCTGTCATGTGCATCTGCTGTCTGTAAATGTTCCTCACATGGTAGTTCTGTATTGCAAGGTAATCATATCAAATTAATAAGCATGATAGCTTTTGTTTCAGTTACAGAACATAATTTCTTTGTTATTCTGGAGCATCATACATATCCCAAATAATATTACTTTTTGCCCCCTACCTCCAAAATATCCGTTTGATAGCCTTGTATATATCCAGCATTTATTATTTCAGCTGCTGAATGGGATGAATAACTAATCATCTACATTAGTTACTCAAGAAAAATGCTTTCCTCCCATTTGCAGTTTTCATGTATCTCTGAAATCCATAGGAACGTATGATGCAATCTGACATAATAGTGGTATTTCAGTTTTTCTCAGAACCTGTTTCAGCATGGCCACAGCAATCACTGGACTTTTGGCAACTGCTTCAAGTTCAGCCTGGCATTATTCAGCCTGGTTGTCTTTTGCCAAAGTGGGGAATAGAAAGGTGGATCTGTTATTTATTTCCCTACACTCACTGTAACTATCCTTGGTTTAGTAGTTTCAGAATAGATTATAGAGTGTTTTGTAGAAATCAGAACTGGGAGACTACTTGGAAGTTGCCAGTTCACACTGCCAGAACATCCTGTTGCATCTTCATTCTTTCGCTGCTTGCTAAAATGCCTTGGCTTCTGGCCTGTTTCCAGGTGGAGATCAGGGTGCTGGTTTTGACCACAAAAACCTCTTAGCAGTTTTCTTTCTGGGGATTTGCTTTAAAAAGGATCTTTTAAATGGGAAGATCTTGAAGGGAATGTATTTTAAGTGAAAAGCCCTCAACTTATAGCTTGCTTCCCCTGAGCACTCCTTCACTGATTTGGAATATTTAATCTGTTGTTTGTTTATCAGGCTTTCACATGGCTGATGAATTAAAGAAGAGAAGTTTTACATCTCACTGGATAGAAAAGATAGGAGATCAAAGTTTTGAATACATTCTTAATTGTTCCTGCATATGCTCTCATCCTAGGATGAAAAACCATTACATAGGGAAATACAGGGGTTAAATAAAAGAACTAGAATATAATCAGGAGTTAAATTAAAAAAAAAAAAGAAAAAATAATATGTGAGAGCATGTATCCAAGAGAATAAAACTTTTATTTTTGAGAAAAATACTGTAAAGAATGCACACATACAGAAGGGTATAATAATCTATGTTTATCTCCATCTTATGTTAAAATGTGGGAGAAATACCACTGGGATCTTGGAGTCTGTGATACTGCAGACAGGAGGAGTAAGAGATTAAAAAACTATCAAGGTAGCACTGATAAAATGACAGAGAAGAAAAGGGTAGGCTCTTACTCAGGGTTCATATTACTAAGAAATGTTTGCAGAGGAATAGATCTGTTCAGCAGTTTCTGCATCATAATTTAAAATGCCTGTTTTTAAATCTCTTTGTAGAAAACTTCATTGTACTCGGAACTACATCCATCTGAACCTGTTCCTCTCTTTCATTCTAAGAGCAATCTCTGTTCTAGTCAAGGATGATATTCTCTATTCCAGCTCCAACACAGCTCACTGTCCAGAGGATCAAACTTCATGGGTAAGAAACCTCATTTGCTACCTGGTGTAATATTATATTGTCACTACATTTTATTCCTTTTAAATATTTAGGAATACCAAGCTGTCAGTGTAGACAATTCTGTTAGAAGCAGACAGAGAAAGAAGGTTGCAGCACAAGTAGGAGACATTAATGTTGTTTGCATATCCATGAAGGGAACAAGTCATCTGCCAAGACAAATCATAACCGTCTATAGTGCAGAATAAATATGGTCACTGCATTAATCAGCTGGGAGAGCTGAAGACAAACAGGAGTGGCATCAGCTGGGAGTGATTAAAGGCAGCTGGCCTGGAAGTGTTCCAGCAGCTTTATCAAGGGTGCAGGAATTGGACAGGTATCAATGGAGGGAGAGAAATAACTCAGGAAATTAAATATTTGCAGGAGGTGTCTTCATTAACTCTTCTGTACTTTCAGGCTATGACAGAAGTGTTGTCATCTGCATTCTTAGCAAGCTAATATGTGTACTGCATTTTCATGCACAGAGATTAAAAAATCTCAAGTCTTGCTGTTAAAAAAATGACCACTATATGATATTCTCCATTCTCTGTCCCTGTTGTTTCAGTCAATAATACCTTCTGATTTTAATGTACTGCAATTTAAGCTTGTGAGAAAAAGATGGAAGAAGATATTTTTGTCTTGATGAAGCCATTTTGTCTCAAAATGTGAAGTTCTTAACAGGACATATATACAACATACCAAGCTGTATGTAGAAATTCATAATCTGGGATATTTCTAATGGAAAAAAATAGAAACTGAGTTGGTAGACCCCAAGCAGGCAAGGTTGTTCATAGACAGACTGCCAGGGGTAATCAGAAGTTCTTAGGTCCTTGAAAGATTATTCGATGGTCTACCAGAATACTACTTGATTTCTGCAATTTCATTTATTGTCCAGTTGTTCTTGGCTGCAAAGCCTCATTGCTTGCTATTCGAATATGTCCAATTTTGTGGACTCTTGAATAATTTCTGTTGCTTTATACGTGGGATGATCTGACACAGCTTGGCAAGGCTGTTCTGTCTGGCACTGGCTGGCTGCTGCCTTTCATACATAACAGCACATGGGGTTTGCCCCCTTTGTCACATGTAGGTGATGTTCCACAGCTCTGCTGCATGCACAGATGTCCAAAAAGCACACATTTCGTAGTGCATTGTAACTATCTCCTGGTTCTGAATTACATGGAGTATTAATTTTGGCTAATTTCACCGTTCAGCATCTGCAAATACAGTTGTTCTAGTATGTTAATGGAGAATGTAATACAAGGAACTATTAGAATTTATAAGACATTACAAAACTTTTAGACTTTGCTAATCTGGCTGTAAGCAGTCATAAGCATAAAAGTAAATTTCATCTTGCATTTTGAAATGTTTAATTTTATCCACGTTACATTTTCTGGCCCATTACTGGTCTGCAATGCAGACCCCTTCAGTGGATACAAAGTCCAGAGAGATAAGATCAGTCTTACCAAACAAAATGACTGAACTAAGCTGTTTCTCCAGGCTTCTGTCTTTCTCACAGGACAGTTCATCTCATCTACTTTAAGACTTTCTCTGGACTGGCCTGTCTCTCTTCATGAGCTGTATAAGGAGGTAGTTGGCTAGTAGGCAGCTGGTTTTCACCAGAAACCTTACTTGTAGGCAGCTAAAATTAGGTGAGATGAATTCAAGCCTTTGGGCTGCTACGTAGTTGTTTCTATAGGCATGTTCACAGGCATAAATAAGGGCATGAATGTTACTTGAGATGCACTGAGATATCTGAGACACCACAAGGTGCTGCATATGAGGAAGTACTTCTAATGAGGTCTGTGCCCTTCTGGCTTAGCAACTGGGGACTGCATCTCACTTCTTAGTAGACATCAATGTATAGGGAGAGGAATCAGACGCTAAATGAGTAAGTTTACCTGCTTAGGCATCAGCTGTACTTGGAATTTTAACAGAAAACTGGAAGTATGTAGAGTGTTTAAAATGGAGAAGTGAGTAAAGCTAGGAGATTTTATTTTGTCCTGTTTGTTTAGTCTGCTACTTTTACCATATAGTCACATTTCTCAGCACATTCTCAGTAGAAGTATTTTCACATTCAATTCTCACATCCCAGATTCCTGCTGGAAAGTGCCAAAGTAACAGCAACCAGCACTGTGGAACATCAGCAGCACAGATATCTGAAAATTAATTCTGAAAAGCAGCACACAGACTATAAGTATCATTTTATGATACAAGCCTACAGTTGTTGTTGATTAAGAAACACTAAAGCATTTTCTAAAAGGAAAACATAATTTTTAGATGTCCAGTCAACTTCTTCTTCTATTTAGACTATTCATCATATAAAGTTATATTTTTCACTGTTTTCCATTTAGCTTTGAAAAATTCATAAAGCAGTTTCTTTGTTAATTTTTACTGTGTTGAGGAGCCAGCTGGGATTAGAATACATTTATTAGCCTCCTAATAGATGATCATTTAATCTAATAGCCATTCATTAATGAACTGTTGCAAATACATGCATTTATTTATAACCAACATATTTTTCAATATTTATGCTATGAAATGTCAACATTTCTGAGCTAATTTACAATGAGAGTCATCTAAATATTTACTTAATAATTAATTTTTATATATATATATAGTAACATTTACTATGTACCAATTCAATTAACTGAAGAAAAAAAATTCTACTGGACCTGGATTACTAATATTACACAAAGAGCTGAGACCTATAGGCTATATTAATAACAGGATAATACAGCATCTTTCCTGCAACAAAACTGATCCCTATTCTCGTATTTCAGGTGGGCTGCAAGGCAATTTTGGTATTTTTTCAGTATGGTGTCATGGCAAACTTTTACTGGCTCTTAGTTGAAGGACTTTACCTCCACATCCTCCTTGTGCTAATATTCTCCCCCAACAGACACTTCACAATCTACCTGCTGATAGGATGGGGTAAGAACTTAAGTCTCATCCAAGAATGGTTTTTTTTCTATATGTCTGTATTATTCAGGTTCAATATTCATCCCAAGGTAGTCCTGCTGTTTCTCTTGGGTAACTCCTCAGACTCCCAAATTCCTCAGTTCAACTCCAGCACAGGTTACAGCCAGGAGACAGCAGGCACAAAACTGCTGGAGCACAACTGCTGGCTTCTCCCTGGCACAGTTCTGACCTCTGCCACTCTGCACCATGCCCAAGGGTTGCTCAGGATATAGTTTGGTGCAAGGGCTGCCACAAGAAAACAAGTGATTCAACTCTCCTGGTTCAGAAGGAAAAATAAAATTTAGCTGCAAAGCTGTGAGCTATACTACACTACTTGCCATTTTGAAAAGCTCAGAAATACTGTTCATCTGGTTTTAAATACATGTATTCCTTTCACTAAAAGAAGGTGCAATGATATCTATATGGAGCACTTTAAAGCTTCCAGTAATAGTTGGTCATAAAATATTTAGATGTTGCTGGGAAATGGGAATAAACCAATGTGTGGACAAGGTTCCTTATGAAATGATTTATACTTTGATTTTATATTGCAGTCCTTGGAAGTGCATTGATAATGCATAACTTGTATCTGTCTCCCTGTAAGTCACTCTGAAAGCTTGCAAGAAACCTAAGAAAGGCATAGGGTTTGTGTATTAGTCATTATGGCTGCATTTTTGTAAGAAATAAATCCACTTCCCTGCAGCCTTTGTTTGTAATACTTTGCTGACATCATGTAGCTCGCCAGATGTGCCTCTCCCTCCATTCAATGCACTGTTTATATATGCTGTGTATTTGTGGAATAATTGATTTCTAGCAGGCTGAACTTTTTGTTTAGTGAACTTGCATTTTTGTGATCATGGCTCTTTGGCATTTTTCAGGAATTCCTACCATATTCATTATTACGTGGACAGTGACACGGATCATTTTAGAGGACACTGGGTAAGTGCCTGTGGGAGACAAAGCTTAAAGCCTCCACCTGTGCCAGTACAATCCTTGCCTTGGATACAATGTTCTTCACACAAAGGTGGTTTGCTGTTCTGAGGGGGACGAGCACAGAACTGACATTTCAGAGATGGCAATAAAGGGACAGGTGTTTGGGAGCTCTTCAGTGTGGGTTTATTTGAAAAACTCAGAAGGGCAGAGAGGTAGAGATAGGTTAGGATTAATGTTAGCCCTTGACATCCCCATTTAAAGTTGTATGCTTAGGAAATCAAAGGAATAATATTCAAAATGGCAGGGGGGGTCCTTGTGTTCAGTGCTGCAACACAGTGCAGTGAGGCACTGGGCATTCTGATTTGCTAACTAGCAGCTCAAAAGGTTGAAGTCTAGATAACTTCATGTATATCTAAATTACGTTCCCAGAAGTGAAGTGATGTGATGTAAACTTATGTAAGATACACATGATCAGGCAAAACTCTAGCTAACTAGAGCTAGGTCTGGATCCTGTCAAGGGAAGGGGAACTGAGATAAGAATTTTGTGGGAAGATCAGACTTGATGCTTCTGCTGGCCCCAAGGAATGGGACAGCATTCCTAGCTGATGAGGCAAACAGTTTTCACAGTCATGTTTTGCCAGACTAACTAATATTTTGCAACTGATTCTGTAATTAAACTGAAAACCCATGTCCTACCTAATTTCAAGCCTCTCTTTTCAAGACCTCTAACATGTAAACCAAAAGCAAACTCCTTTTTCCTTTGTCATTATGATTACAGAGGAACTCTGAAGGGTAATAAATCTTTAATATGACTAACCTTTCAGAGCACTGTGAGTATTTGGATCAAAAGTGCTGAGCCCACAGTGAAAATTAAATATTCAGCTTTTCAGCTGAAGCTTCAGGTTCAGTCTCACATTTTCCTAAAGCAGTTCTAACCATCTGTAACCTAAATATCCCACAAGAAATCAAGTCATTTCAGTTGTACCTGTCAGCTGCTTTAGATCTTCCTGCCACCCAGAAACCAGAGTTAAATGTATATTGAAAAAGTGTCCTTACACAGAGTGAAACTGAGCTTGGTGTCCTCAAAGGCCAATGTCCTCCACGATGTCTAATGGTACAGCCCAGCGTGCCTGATGTTTTAGCTGATTTCATAGAACCATAGGATGGTTTGAGTTGGAAGGGACCTTCAAGACCATCTAGTTTCAACTCCCCCTGCCATGGCCCACTAGACTGGGTTACATCCAGTCTGGCCTTAACACTTCCAGGGATGGGGCATCCACAATTTCTCTGAGCAACTGTTCCAGTGTCTCGATGCCCTTGGAGTAATGCACCTTGAGTAGCATGTCCAGTTCTGGGCCCATCACTTCAAGAAAGACATTGAGGTGCCAGAGTTTGTCCAGAGAAGGGTAATGAAGCTGGTGAAGGTTCTAGAGAGTAAGTCCCATGAGGAGCATTTGAGGGAGCTGGGGGTGTTTAGCCTGGAGGAAAGGAGGGTCAGGAGAGACCTTATTGCTCTCTACAACTCCCTGAAAGAAGTTTGTAGGTAGGTGGGGGGTGATCTCCCCTCACAGGTAACAAGCAACAGGATGAGAAGGACATAGTCTCAAGCTGCACCAGGAGAGCTTCAAATCAGACATGAGAGAGAATTTCTTCATAGAAAGGGTTTTCAAGCATCGGAATGAACTGCCCAGGGAGGTGGTGGAGTCACCATCTCTGGAGATGTTCAAGACATGACTGAATGTGGCACTTAGTGCCACGGTCTAGTTGAAAAGATGGTGTTCTAAGGTTGGACTCGATGATCTTGGAGGTCTTATCCAACCTAAATGATTCTGCGATTCTGTGGATAAAGGATTTCTTCTTAACATCTAAATCTCTCCTCTTTTATTTTAAAACCATTCCCCCTTGTCCTATCACTACGTGCTCTGGTAAAAGGTCGCTCTCCCTGGTCCCTCTTCCTCTCTTTTAAAAGCCACCCTTAAGTTCTGAAAGCTCACAATGAGGTCTCTCCAGAGCCTTTTCCTCTCCAGGTTGAACAGTCCCTAGGTCTTTCAACCTGTCTTTGTAGGAGAGGTACTTCAGCTCTCTGAACACCTTCATGGCCTCCTCTGGACCAATTCTAACAGGTCCACATCTCTCTTATTCTGAGGCCTCCACACCTGGCTGCAGTGTTTCAAGTGGAGGAATGGAGTTTGCATATTAAAACAAGAAATAACATTAAAAGCAGGAAACTATTGAATGCCAAATTCTAGGCTAGAACAAGCATAATTTTAGTGTGCTTTGACTTGTATATAAGAAATAATTCTCCTCATAGGTCTTGCTTGCCAGATGATATTAATGTCAACATCTTTTTCCCTCTGTTTTTTTTTGTAGTTGCTGGGATACAAATGAGCATGGTGGTCCCTGGTGGGTTATACGAATACCAATTTTAATTTCTATTATAGTAAGTAAACTTTGAAGTGTGAATTATAGATCTGCTCAGCATTCTGCAGTGCATATAGCCATTATTCTTTACAACTAGTTACAGATAGGCAAGAATTCTGCTTTAATGAAAAGAAATTGTGCTGTAGGAGAAATGTTAAACAGATGCCAAGGCCATTAAAATTTGTTGCCTTCAAAATTTATCTGCCTTCTATTAAATGAGCAGTTGCTTTTATTTGTATGTTGTTCTTCCTTTAGCATCTCTCCTGTTTATGAGCCTAGAGGAAGTAAAAATCTAATTATACTTTTCAATGAATTGCAGATTTGATTTTGTGTGTAAATAGATAGTTCTGCAGTTGAGAATCTGATATTATTGCAGTCATAAAAAACTGTGGCTGTGTATATCTTTCTTTAATTGGTAGCCTACTGAAATATATATTGAACATTAAGTATTTGCAAAATAATACCATTTGAGAAAGTTTCACAGGGCTTTTCCTGTGTGGAGCTCATTAGAATTACTGGGGTAGTATAATGATATTCCTGTTCAGTTTAATGATTGCGTAATTAACTTTGGGCATAATATACTATGAATACATGTCCATTTCTGAAAACAACCAGAGTGCAAATTGATATATTTTAGGTATACTTTCCTCATTTTTGACATTGTAGGCAGTAAAACTAGGGGTTTGTTAGATTACACAAGATTTCAGAAATTCACATTACACTTGGGCTTGTCTTTGAACCTGTGCCTGCTGAAAATCCTTTTGAGAGAACTACCTATCATCTTCATCAGAGCGAATTCTGCAGTTTAAAGTGAAAGCAGAGTAGGGATATGTGTGCAATAACATAAGGTAAGGACTCCCAGAAAAGGTATTCTATGTTATGAAGAAATGGACATTCAACAGCATGAAGAGAATACCTGTACCACAGAGGAGCTGGAAAATGGGGTATGATCCAGAGTGAAGAAAATATGCTGAAAGATAAAAGCAAAACAAACCACCTGGTGTTTACAGAAAGATGAAAGTCTGCTTGTTCTCTGGATGCTCAGTTTAAAGAGCAATATGGTAAAGAGCTGAGACTTCGTGTGCCAGAAAGCAGCGTTTCTCCAAAGGAGAGCTAGACCTGGAAAGGGAAGTTATGCCAGGGCACACTGGCAGGCCTGAACTGAGGATGGAGCTTAGCAAAGACTGGGGAATGACTTTGGAATTAAGTCAGCTAAAGTCCAATCTATCCAACAGTACTGTGAGAGCCAGCTCTGGTACCATTTGCAAGGTGCCAATGGCTCCAGTTAATTCAGTGTATCAGAAACCTTCCGTGACATCTCCTCATGACAATTTTGGCTTCAGAATGGTTTGGCAGACTTTCATGCTTCATGCTGTACCCACTTCAGAGTTATCAGTTGGGGGTGAATATTCCAAATTAATGTGCTCTTACCCACATTCTCCATTCAACAAATGCCTCCACAGCTGCCTTCTCCATAGTTCCATCTCCATAAACTGCTCTCCTTAGGGAAGGAGTGGTGTTTGTGTGGAAACAGTACTTCTGTCCCAACAAAGTAAATGAGAAATGTTTTTCTTGTTATGTCACATTTCAGGTAGGGTAAGGGACTAAATAGAAAGAAAGCAGCAACATGAAGCCAGTTTAAATGATACATGCTCACACAATGTGTTTAGACTCAAAAACATTGTCAGAAGTAGAACAGGGTATAAGCAGCATCTTGCTGTTACTCCACTAAAGAGCCATCATTTGTCTGTCTTGTAGTTTTTCTACATTCTCATTAATTTCTCATGTTCCTGTTCTTAGATCTTCATTGAACAGTATCCATATTCTATGTTATTTAAAGGCATTATGCTCAAATGATTTTATGGGACTAAAAAGCTACAACACTAAAATTCCTGGGCACTACTTGTTTCATATTTTATTGAAAAATACTCTTCTAAATCATACTCATGCTTCAAAGGATTTTTAAATCTATGAATTCAATGAAATCCTAGATAAATTAATTTCATCCACTGTAATAAGTCAGTGGAAGTTGCCCCTGTTAGATCTTAATATCCAGTTTCAGTTAGCTGGATTTGCAGGCTCAGTAGTAGTAACAAGGACTGTTACAGTCTCCAAACAGGAATGTAAGCTTTTCATTAATCCAAAATTGTGCTTACAGACAGTAAAGAATGTGTTTGAAAAAAGAATGTAATACATGAATGTCAGTCAAGAATGTGAGTCACCTGAGTGCAGTTCTGCAGCTGATGTCATACCTCAGAAACCAAGGGGATAACATATTATTCTGTTACACTAGAAACCAGGGATGCCTGTGAAGAACAAGAAATTATTCTGTCATTCCCTTTGTAAACACAGAATAAAGATTTTTTTCTTCTCCTATTTTGTGGCTAACAAATATACAATAAAATGAAAGCTCTCTCCTTGTCCGCTAATTCTGGCTCCTGTGTGTATGACAAATTATATATCCCTTGGTGTGTACACTCTGATGCAATGTCAGTAGATACAATCTGCAATAACAGGCTTCTACCTGTTACCTTTATAGGAGACTTGCATCAAAGAAACAATCTAAGTAATCATGTGCCTGAAAAATGCATGTTAAGCTCAGCAAAAGCCAGCTTTTTCTAATATTTCTTTCTTATTCTTCTTTAAAAACAACAAACAAACAAACAAACTAGATATAATTTTCCCAAATTTTTAGTTCATCCCTGTCAGTTCCTATCACTTCCCTTCACCTGTCATTTCAAACTAAATGTTAAGTACAGAGGGACATGTATTGGTTTGATTGTGGTTTATTTATTAACATCCCAAATTGTACAGGTTGTGCCAGAGAAGATACAAAAATTCATTAAACTTGAAAAGCTTACAGCCAAACTATTAGGACTGGAAAAAGGAAAGTTCCACTGATACATGGAGACAGAGATTTATAGCAGGGAGACAGGCACTGTCTGGTTGGGTACCCCACCTCTAGATTTTGGGCTAGATTAATTTATTCTGAGATGAGTCCATTTGATGCAGCTGTTTATGTAGCTGTACCTGCAGTTTTCAGTGCACTTTGTTGCTGTGAAGGTGGGAATCCAAGTGTTCCCTTACTTTAGTATGGACATGCTATAATAGTGTGAGGTTTTCTTGACTGCACCAAAAAATCCAGCACCAGAAGGGCTGGTGACCACAAGATACCAAAAACCAAGGCTGAAGAAATAATGGCAGTGAGACTTAGGATCTACTGAGTTTTATACTTTGATTTTCTAGGCTGATCATAATCTGGTCATAACTTTTTTTATGCAAGTGCCTTTCTGTGAAAGACAATATGAAATAAAATATGAAATAAAATAATATTACTGTTGTGCCTTAGAGGGCTATCATGAGAATTGGACTGCAGGGATTCAGCTGAGGCTTGGATTACATGACCTCCAGAGTTCCCTTCCAACTCTGACTATTTTGTGATTCCTTCAGTCATAATGTCTGCATCAATATCCAAGGCAAACAGATACTTGTGAAAGACCCTTTTTGTGTTTGATTAGAGCAGGTAGATGAGCTGTGTAACAATCTTCTCTTCCCCTAATTCAGACAGAAAATACTGAAAGTCAAGACAAGGAGCAAGAGAGGTCCAAAACTCTCTCTGGGGTTCTGGTTGTGAATCCACGTGGCAATTTAGGACAGTGTTTGACTGCAGCAAATCACATTCAGCACCCCATCCTGCTAGGAAACTTGTCTTCATCTACACTTTTGGAAGGAGGGTATTTCTGACAACTGGGGCTTTCAGAGACTTTTACCAACCCGACCAGAACCCGTGGGCATGCAGAGGTGCTCTGACATGACAAACCAAGTGTGACCCAAAACAGACAATAGGTTGGACAGTGCAGAGCTTGATTTGTTCTGGTAGGAGTACCACAGCTTACTCCTGGGTTGACTTGTCTGACTTGATGAACATTTCTTTGTGCTGCATATTGAGTGGAGAAGTCAGAAATCACCATTCTATTTGTTTTCTTTGCAGGTCAATTTTATACTTTTCATTAGTATCATAAGAATCTTATTGCAGAAGTTGAGATCTCCAGATGTTGGAGGAAATGACCAATCACAGTACAAGTGAGTCACATTTTCAGATATTATAAACAGAATTAAAATAATCTCTATAAGGTTTCATCTGCTGAAATATTCTAACAATTGCTGTGATACTGTAATTACATTTAATTTAGAACTACTTTTAGATGTGGTTTGAAAAAGGTTATCACTGTGCTGAAATAGAGAAGAATATATTTTTTGTCTAACAATAAGTTGAATAAAAAATATTCACTTTCATAAAGATCAACAAGCTATTCTTGATTTTGGGTTTAATCCATAATTGAACAGGTTGATATAAAATATATGGAGAGTATTATCTTTCTTTTGATATATAAATATTTAATTTTGACATAACAAAAGTTTCAAGTTCAAAACATTTTTCTTCTACCTCCTTAAAAACTTTTTTTAATTTTTCATTTCTAAAATACTTTTTTAATAATATTTACATACATTTTAAGAGCTGAAAAGAAGTTATATTGTTCCCAGAAAGTTAAAAGTTAAGTATAATGTTTGATATTGATTTAAAATACCATCTGTATTTTTCTCTAGGAAAACAGTTGTGTCTGATCTAGATCAATTTCATTTGTGTTTAGACTTCTTTTATGTTTTAGTTTGAATCAGGGAATGTTGAGGGAATATTCAAATACATTGCTAAAATTGATTTTGTTTTTTATTCTATTGTTGTATCACTTGTTGTTGTTTGTTATAATACCTGCTGGATACTGTAATCCACAATCAAGGGTCTGTGGTAGTAGGTCTTATTTTAAAGCCCAGATACAGACATTGAGTTTGATGTTTCAGGATGTCATTATGATGCTTCAGTGACAAAACCTAACATGAACACTGAAAATTCAAAACCATGCAAGTGGCCTTTGAAAATGTGTTCCTCGATAACACCTTTATTTAAAAAATACAGAATTCCTGTCCTCAAAGCTGATAAAACACAGTATGCTGAAGTAAAGGAATAACTTTAAAGCTGAGGGAAATAGAACCTTATGTCTTTCTTAAACAATGTGGTACATTTGATGCCGAAAATGAATATCTGATGGGCCACAGAAGAATCAACATGACTAGACTGACTTTCAGTTCTGTAATTTTCCACAGTTTTCTATAGCACTTTATAAGATGAAATGTTCTCACTAGTAACAACCTTGTCCTTTATTATTCAGTCCTGTGAATTCTTTGCTGTTAGCATTTCATTGCCTGGTTAAGTTTGGATTGTGTGGTCTTGAGCTGATACCCATGGAAAAGTAGATTAACCTCCCCAAGAGACAGTGCATCTACAGAGCAAATTAAAGGTCTGGAAAGCTCGTTCTTACAATTGCAAATGCATTTTTTTAAAATGCAGAGAAGAATAAGGCTAATTTGTCTCTCCATTTCCTTCACTGAAATGTAAGTGAAGTATACAGAAAGTAACATCAGCTAGACAAAAATCATTGAAAAAACAATGGAGTGAAATATGAATCTAAAATGTATACCACTCATTCAAGTCACCATTTTTCTTCCCTTCTTCTGAACCTGCTTGTACCTGGTTCCATCTTTTTTTTTTTGCTCACTTTACTTTTGCAGTGGGTAAGGTTAAGTTCAAATAAAATCAGTTTTCCATTTGACTTGGGAAACCAGAAAATTTGCTGCCAGTGTCATTTCCTCCAGCTGTAAATGAATTTCTTCTGCTAAGGAAATCCTTTTTGTCCCACTTACTGGTGGCATCCTTAGATGTGAGGGTTTTGGTATTCTTGAGAAACTGCTGTCAGAACTGATCATTTCCACATAAACAGATGCAGCCTCTGGGACATTATGAACAAAGGAAGGCCACGAAGACTGACACAGAAAAAAATAAAACTGCTTGAAATACCTTGAATTTTCTGTTGAAATACGTGAATTCACAACAGCAGCCTTTCAATGTTGAATTAAGTTATATTCATCAAGACACTGATGAATTATGGAACTCAACATCGTAACTTCTTGAATTTTATCTGATACCAGACATCCATAATCGTGCATGACTGGCCTTGTATAATATATAAAACTGACGTTATTAGAGTGAAGTAAGTGACAGATAAGATATAATTAGCAATTCATCATTTCAGTAGTTTCACAGGCAGTTTGTCAGAGCTGCTCTGCTTAGTAATTTAAAGTTCTCCTTCCTTAACTTCCATAGTGTCTTCTGCTAAAATATGTTACATGATTGACAACATTGAAAATTAGTTAATGGTATATGCTTAAAACCACCAGTAAGGCTATGAAGTTTTAGTACTTGTGGGTAAATCTGAAGTTGCTCATGAAAATCTCACAGCTGAGATTATTCTGGATTACATTTCCTGGGTATTGTTTGCATGTTGTGCATGTGCAATGTACAGACTTACCATGAAGTTGCACATTTTAAAAAAAATTAACAGCAATTAACTTCAAAAGAGGGATGTTACCCTCCATACATGAGGATCTGTCAGTATGACTTTGTAGGAAGGCATCATTCCTTTCAACTCTGAACTTTTCGTGCCAAGTGAAAAATATCTCAAGAGGTTTGATGTCAGCTCATAACACATTGTTGAACGTGGTCCTGTGGAATAATGCAGTAAATCCCACACCCAAAAAACGTGCCATGGAGCCAGGCTGGGAGGTGGCTGTTGGTCAAACAACCACAGCAGAGAATGGGTCCTACACCCCACTGCTGCACAGAGGGCACCTGGAAAAGGGACTTATGGTTTAGAGAGGCCCTGCAGCCTTTCACCAGCTTTTGGAAGAGTGCAAGAGTCAGCAAGATCAAGTATATTATGGAATTTGATATGTCAGTTTGTGAGGTGACTATGGGACTAATCTCATAGCATACCTGAAAGGAAAACAATTTCTAATAAATTACTCTTACTGTTTATAAATCTGAAGTCATACGAGACGTAAGTAAACAACATTGCATCGTATTCTTATCCCAGTAAAACAAGAGCTTATCATTAAATTTCAGTTTTTTCTCTCTTATTTGCCCAGGAGACTTGCAAAATCCACGTTGTTGCTTATTCCGTTATTTGGAGTTCACTACACAGTGTTTGCTCTATTTCCTGACCGCAGTTCCAATAATTATAAAATAATCTTTGAGCTGTGTTTGGGATCTTTTCAGGTAAATTTTACAGTTTTTATTCAAAAGAAGTTTTATTGCCCTAGGTTTGCAGTGCCTACTAACTGAGAAATATTGTCTCTTTCCAGGGTTTGATTGTTGCAGTCCTGTATTGTTTTTTGAACAGTGAAGTAAGTCTCACCTTTCCTACTGAGAATGTTAAATGTTGTTTTCAGTAAATATATAAGTGCCCCTCTAATTCTACTTTGATACATGGAGCTGTTTTAGGGGTTTGCATTTGTATTTAAAGAATCTATATATGACAGTTCTGATGCAACAGGAGAAATTAGTGTATTTGAGTGAAGAGTTTTAAGAACTATGTACATCTAATTCCTTGCAAACTGAGGTCTTGGTGTTGTCAGTTATTTAACATGATCTGATCTAGCTCTGTTAGAAGCAATGTGGACTCTGCAAGTGAGGTGCAACAAGTGTAGAAATTTACCCAAGACTTGAAACACCATTTAGTAAGTATTATGGGGAAATCTTCTGACAGTATCTAACCCCTAGACCAGCAGCAGATTTTTCAGAAATATTAAGCATGTGGCAGCTTTCCTAATCTCACCTGAGAAGGATGCAAGGAATTCTTTTTGATGTCAGCCACCAAGCAGTACCTGACAGGAAGAAGACACCTGCCTGCACAGGGAATCGCCATTCAGCTTTCCTGAGTGTTATTCTAATCTTTCACATTCATGAGATGCCTGATTTTGGGGATAATCATTTGATTCTATGCTTTAAGGACATGTGATTAATAGCTAGATACCAAAAGCTAATGTTGCAGCACAAGTCATAAAAAACTGATTTTGAAAGTGGCCTTGGGGAATCTCCTCACAGTGTAGATACAGTCTTCAGTTCTGTAAACTTTGTAAAAAGTGATTTTATACTCTAGAGGGAAGGGATGCCATCCAGAGGGACCACGACAGGCTTGTGGAGTGGGCCCATGGGATAAGTGCAAGGCCCTGTACCTGGGTCAGTGCAGTGCTGGCTGTGGGATGAAGGGATTGAGAGGAGTCTGGACTTGGGGATACTGGGGAAAATGGGACATGAGCTGGCAACGTGCACTTGCAGCCCAGAAAGCCATCTATATTCTGCATCAAAGAGGCATGGCCAGCAGGTTGGGAGAGGAGACTTTCATCAGTACAAAGAAGACACAGACCTGCTGGAGTGAGTCCAGAGGAGGGCCACAAAAATCTTCAGCAGGCTGGAATACCTCTCATATGAAGATAGGGTGAGGGAGCAGGGATTGTTCAGCCTGGAGAAGAGAAGACTCTGGGGAGACTTTATGGGAGCTTTCTAGTACCTACAGGGGTTATTATAAAGAAGAGGGTGAAAGACTTTTTAGCAGGGCCTGTAGAGACAGGACAAGGGGTAACAATTTTAAACTGAAATGTGGTGGATTTAGATTGCATGTAAGGAAGAAATCTTTTCCCTGAGGGTAGTGGAGATACTGGAACAGGGATGCTCCATTGCTGGATGTATTCAAGGCCAGTTTGGATGGGGCTTGGAGCAACTTAGTCTAGTGAAGAGTTTCCCTGCCCATGGCGGGGGGTTGGAACAAGATGAACTTTAAGGCCCCTTCCAACCCAAACCATTCAATGATTCTACTCCTAGAGGTCCTCATTTGACCACCAATACATGGGGAAAAGTTCCTCACATAAAGAACATTTTCAGCTCATATTACGCATTTTCTTTCTAACACAGGTGCAGGGGGAGCTGAAAAGAAAATGGCGTAGTTTGTGTTGGAAGCAGACGGCAGGACGGGATTACAGACTCCACAGCTCTTCGATTTCTCGAAATGGATCAGAAAGTGTTTCTCAGCTCCACCGGAATTCAAGGGCTCACTCATTCATGCAGACAGAGACCACCATGATATAAATGAGCTAGGTCCCTCAAAACGTGAAAAACTGTGGAATATATCATTCATTATGCAGCTTGATGTGACATTTTATAAAATGTACAGTTTAGTGCTTTGCTTTTCTACATGTTGGAATTTGGGAAATTGGTTTGTGCAGCCGACCTGTTAATAATAGAGAAACCTGCCCCATGGATGCTTCCTGTTTTGTTTAAATGGTGTTCATATTAATTCTGATGTTCTCTTGCAGTTTACTGGCCATAAGAATTCAGAAGCTCATTTTCCATAATGATCCCTTTACCCTCCAGTGTGGTTCCAAGACTGATGCATGGTATCCTGCTCAGTGCAGACTGCTTTGGCACATGTTGTAAGGGTTAAGATGGGAAGCAGGAAAATTTCTTACACTTTGTTTATACTTAAGGAACATTTATTTCCTTAAGGATAAGGGTATTCTTTTTTAAGTATGGAAAGTACAATAAAAATAAAGAAATCTAAGACTATAATTAACCACAGTGGGAGTTCAGGGTGCTAATCCAGGAAATCATGAACATTATTTATATAGAGAGTAAAAGGCAGTACTTCTTGGCTAATTATACAAATTTCAGAGATTACTTTCTACAGAATTTGATTCTAACCCTGTGGTTACTTTCAGAAGTGCCTAGTTTTAAGTTTAGGTGCAGAAAGTAGGGCTACCTTTGCAGTCCTACAGAAAAGATGACTATAATAATTTTGATTAAAACTTCGGCAGTTTCCAGTAGTGATGTTCCAATCACCAGTTGTTCTCTTCTGTTTAATGTCAGAGGTTTCTGTCTATCTTTCATTATGCAATTTTCTAAAGAGGTGTTTTATTGCTCAAGCAGCCTCACATAGGAATTACAGCCTTGGATAGCATATTAACCATTGAAAATACCATTTTTATATAGTATTTTCATTAAAATATGTCTCTAGACCTACATAATTGGCAGCTAAAACAAGGAATATTGCAATGACATTACAACTCCTATTTAAGGAATAAAGTAAATTCTTTTCATTTTATTTAATTCTCTATCTATCTGAGATGATTTAAAATTTAGTCCTGACCAAATTCTAGACCAAAAAAATTAGGCAGAATCCCTAAAAATTACCATAAAAGGCATAAAGAAGAAATTCTTAACAATACCAAGCCTTTATGCAGCCACTTTTTTTTTTTAAAGAGATAGAACTCGCAAAGTATTACAAAAATACCCAGAACATTTACACTCTTTAAAAGGAATAATCCAAATGACGTTTATTTCTCATGTTACTTTTAACCATGACCACCCTTCATAACATGTGGGAATAATACATATTTGCATGAGTGCCTCCATAAAAGCAATTGCCCTTTTATTTCAGACAACAGATTTTACGGAGCTGGCAGAATTTAAGGTCCTGACAGATAAAGGCAAGAACATCATCAAGGGCATGTCTTGGCAGGCATACATGTACATTTTTGAAAATATTACCAGCACTGGGAATATTGTCAGCAGCTGTCAAAGTGTCCCTACAGCTCTGATTTAATCTAGCTATTTATCAGTCAAACACAATTTATTTTCATGGGATTACCCTGGAGAAATACAAAGTTTTGTTGGACCAAAGACAGGAAAGGCCTCATGACTCTCACGAGTTCTGAAGAACAGGTAATGTAGTAAAATCGCATGACACCAGCCTTTACCCAGTATCCTATGAGTTAAAAAAAACCCTGCTTGATGAATTGCCACTTTGCCAAACTTGACTTTAAAGAAGCTATCAATCACCTCCAGTCATTCAGAGTGTTTTCTGCTGTCAACTGGTGAAGTAGCTGTGAGACTCTAGATGGAAATGGGCTGCACAAGGGCAGTCCCATGGAGGTCTAAAGATAAACCTCTACTATATATTTAAACTAAAAATATTCCCAAAGGCTTTATACTCAGAAACCATTGCTTAACTTTAGTAATTTTCCTGGTTCTCTGAACTACCTTATCACAAACTCTTAATTGCAAATATATTAAGATCCATTGGAACTTTAGGGGTTGCTTCCATACCTAAATTAAACATATCTGTGCACTTCAGGCGTCTTTGTCTGAAGTGACATTGTGGCTGCCCAGCTCCCTGAGGTGTGATGTGCAGGATGTTCTTTTTTTCCCCAGATTTCAAGGGTAGAAGAGCACATGTGACAAGCATTCAAAAGTGCTCATCTTTTTGCTCCAGTGAGGTTATATGAGTGAGTTGACACACAGACAGAATGATGGTGTAGAAACAGAGGTTTCAAGCAATCATTTCCATCAGTCTGTTCTGCATGATGCATCACCAATTACACGTGTTTACAATACATTGTATCCTAGAGAAAACCATCTTTGTTCTAATTAGGTGAGCATGGAGAAAATCTGCATTTAATTATTTCTGGATTATAAAACAGAAAAGCCTTAATAAGAAAACACATCCTAAGTTGCAACGAAACAGCATTGTGTCCTTTAACAGGTTGCAGATCCATTTGGACTTGATTCTACTTTTCACGTAGGGTGTAATGCCATATGAGACAAGTTGCACCAGTGGGAGAACATAGATGGTATCACAAAGTTTGAAAAGGACTATATGGATGTGCAAAGAATGGCACACAGGGAAGAGAGGTGCTGCAGACATTTTCCTTTCACACCAGTGAAAGGTATAGGACTCTGTAAAGCCTCATCCCTCTACTGATAATCTAAATACAGAAAAGATGCTTTCTGAAAGACAGTAACTTCATAGTGCTTTGTGGAAGCATTATCATGGCAGTAAAGGCCCAGAGGGCACTGTGCTCACTTGTTTTTACTCCTCAAAAATTTCCGATTTCCAAACAATTTTATGCAAAGTTACATCAACCCTATCATCACCTGTTTGACTTTCAGCTACCTTTTCATGCACAGCTACACATCATATTGAAATGTATGTAAAAGGTGCAGAACAGTTTGAGAAATCTAGAACTTGGTAAGTATTTTGCATCTTTACAACAACCAGAACAACACAGCTTCTCATAGCTTTGTCTTTCACTGCATTTTGCACAGGAGTATGGAACTAAATACTTTTGCTCTGTGCTATGGTGACTCTTAAGAGTCAAAAGAACAATGCAAGGAAACATCATTTGGCTTTCTGTCATCCCCAAATCTAGATCGTGCTCATTTCCAGAAGCATCAGGGGAGGAAGCAGAGGCAGTAAAGAAGAATATCCTTTCTCTGCACAACCTTGGCCCATAATTTTCCTTCCTTTCTTTATTCCTTTACCTCCTTTCCCCCTTTGGTTGCATCAAGGTCCAAGCTGAGTTGTAAAGTTTTCAGAGCAGGAAACCTGGGGTTTTTTTTTTCCCTACTGAAAAGCCAGTAGCACACCTCATAGTTCTGAACAAGGATGATAATACAGCTCACTCTCTGGTACTGTGGTTAATTGCACTTTACCTTCCTTGGAGGTGCCACTCATTATGAGTGATTTCTGTCAGCATTAACTGCTGCTGGTGCCTGAGGAGCACAGCAACAGTTTGCTCTCTAGTTACCAACCATGATTAAAATCTAAATATATAGCATTGACTTCAGTTTTCCTCTGCTGAGTCTGTTTCAGCCAGGTGCTCCATAAATGCAGGTGAAATTCATCTGCCATGGTTTCGGTATCTGAAAGCTGGATATCTGTCTCTGAGTTAAAGATTCCTTTTAAGTGCCTTCCATAGTCATCTTAAGGAAATAGGCACTAGTTGAAGATTATTCATTCCACATTCAGCAGGGTATCTAAGGTGGGTAAGCTGGATCACCTTTTTTCCTGTATCCACTATAAAATGAGCCCAGGGCATCTGGCTAGTACTTAAATTAATCACTCTACATCTAAAATGAGGCAAGATGAATCTCTCCAGAAGAGATCATTCAGTTGTCTTGGTAATAGTGCCCAGATACTCCTTTTTAAGCCACTAACTTGGGTTGGCCAAAGTTATCCTCCAAGAAATGTGCAGTGTAATTCAAAATTTCAGGCAACGGAAGATCCCACCAGCAGTGCTGTTTTTCACAAAATTTTAAGAATTTGACATCTTTAGGAAGTGCTCTGTGCTGGAGTGCATGAGAACCCAACACACTGCCCCTGAAGGGCATGGTGATGGGTCCTGGGGGTAGCCAGCTGAAGAACTACCCAGTTTAAGCATGTATTGGGACTGTACTGCAGCAGCAATACCCAAATGGTAGTGAATATCATTACAAAAAACTTTCTATGGTCAAGCTGGAGGCAGCCCACCCCATTCAAAAGCATCTGCTTCATGTCTCGATTCAGCCCAGGCAGCTTCCCTTTGCCTTTAACCTGGTGAAAGGGAAAGCAGCAGACACAGACCCTTAGCAAACCAGAGACTCTCTGGGACAGATTTATGAAATAAAGCATTGGCAGGTGCATGTGTCACACACTCTATGTGTAATGACTGAGATGAATCATCTGCATCATTTGCCTCCTATTTTTGTAAGTTCTAAAAAACATCTTCTGTTGACTGTGAATTTACCCAGTTCAGCAAAGCAAAGGGGGGTAAAGTCCACATTCACTATATACGGATTTTTTTCAGACAACCCTAATGAAAAATCAAGGAATAAATATGTCTGATAAAAAGGAAGAACCAGCAAGTAACCTGCAGAGAAATCTGCTGTGTGTAGGAGGGTTATTGTCCAAGCAGTTACTGTCCGTGCATAGTCATACAGGAAATACTTTTACTAACAAAAATACCTTCATGTTACCATGAGTGCCTATACAAGCCCTGGACTCTCAGTACTACCCTGACGTGACCAAATAGCAGAAGTTCGTATGCAGTGCTATTCTATTGATGAAAAATAAAATAACAAAAGGTGTTCTAACATGTATGTTACAAGAGTACATCAGGATAACATTTAAAAGGAGCATTCTGTAGTATGGTTTAAGCACTCTGTGTTGAATCTGCTTCTGCCCAGTGATAACAGTAAATAGTTCAATCTAAGTCAGTAACATTTCCATTGTCAGCTAGAACAGTGACTGAAATGTCCCAATCCCCTCTATTGCCCTAAGCACTGTAACAAGTTTATGATATCCTGCAGCTTTTTTTGTCATGGTACATTAGTATTACTTTGCAATTCTCTTTTGTCGTCTTTGTTGATACCTTTTTAGCTGTCAAGTATGGTAAAAATTAAAAATTATGTAAATGAATGTGATTATTTTTTACAAAATGTACAGACTATGATGTTGTATAGATTAATGTGTGTAAATAGATTTCATACTATAATTCACTATACTTTTCTTCTGGTTTTGCTCTTATTTTCTTTTCTGGTTTCAGTTTTTAATGTCACATACCTAACAGCCTTCTCTGAAATGTTATATATAAAGCTGTGAACAAATAAGTGTTTACATCTTTATGCTATTAGAGATAATAGTTAATAACACCATAATGGACTGAAGAGGAATCAGAGAATAAAACTTTTAAAAGTTTTGCACAAAGCTTCTGTTATTTATGTTTTAAAAAAAAATATTCTGTAAAAAGATGCAGTTTTCTTATTGACTCAGTGGGTCAGGGCCACGCTGAAGAATGTGGATAAGTTAATATTTCACTTTTTAACCCAGCAGCTCTAAGGCACACGTTACAGAAAAGGTAAGCAGAGACTGTACCATGTAATAAGTATCTTCCAGCAACCTAGATGTGCTTACAGGGGCATGAGAATGGCACAAACACAAAGCAGATCCAGGTGTTGTGTATGTCAACATCTCTGTGGTCAGCAGCTGTTTTTTACTTATTATGGCTTGCTTAAAAACTGATTGCTCAGTTATCTCTCAGAAGCGCAGTTATCTGTCTGATATTAGAGTATAATGGAGCTGGAACAAAGGAAAGCTATGAAGTCTCTCCTGTAAAGGCAACACCATATATCACATTTTTCTCTCCTAAAAGTAATGGGAATGGGCACAGGGAAGAGACTGGCAGTGGTGCATTGCTGGTGGGGTCAGAGAGAGTGAGTACATGTGCAGGAGGATGTGGAACCTCATGGGGCAGTGCCTGCCCTGGCAGCAACATCGAGGAGGGAAGTGGACCAGAGAGTCTGTTCCTTTCTGTGTGTACCTGCGTATCACAGAAGCTACACCACACAGAGGGCTCTTCTGACCCTTTGGGACCATTCTCTCCCACTTTATGTGTGCACTTGTATGAGCTGCATCAGTGTGGACCCTTCTGCAATCAATAGCATGTCTGCAGAGCCCTTCAGTGTCCTCACCCACATGAACGTCCCGTGTTCCTCATTGCTAAAGGGGCAGCCCCAGATCACCCTGATGTCTGCAGGTGAGCTGCTCTACAGCTGAGGAGTCTAAATGTGCAGGAGAGCCAGGGTGCAGATGAGCAGGGGCATTGGCAACAGGACTGACTCCCATCAGTTCTGGTAACAGCGCCTGCAGGTTTCCATGGCAAGTTTGAGTCCTGCCAAATGCAGAAAATTGATCCCTTGCAGAAGTTCTGCATAGTAGCTAGAGAAAGTGTTATCTCCAGAATAAAAACAAAAGTCACTGTGGTGGGGAGGGGGAGAGTAAGGGAGCCTGCATTGCAGACACAGCTTAAAGAAGTAACACACTTCTGTGACAACTTCAGCGTGGTCACACCCAGCAGTACTGACTGCAGGAGCCTCTTAGCTCTGTACTCACAAACACTGACCCACAGGAGGTGTGGATATGGCACAAAGCTCTGTTTTCTCTGATTGCATCAAGGAGCTTCTAACTGGGATGTTTGAAAAGGTAAAGGAGATCAGTGGCTGGGATGGTGAAAAAATCAGAAAGACTATCTTGTCTTCATCTCTGTAAGAGAGCTGAACCAAAGATCTACAGCAGACAGCAAGAGAAAAGCTACTGCAAACTCTGTGTGTGTTCATGTGGGTGAGTTTGGGTGTGGACTGTAGAACAATGCTGCTTTTATAGGACATCTTATTTTCCCCTGGAAGTGTGTAAACCAAATCCCCACCTATCTCCCAATTCCAACAGTGTTTACAGTGCTGTTCCCAGTTGGCATTTAGGTGACAGAGGGACAGTCTAAAAGGGAATTTACACAGTGAACAAAGAGGAACAGAGCACTCAATGAGAGGCCTGAGAGCCTGTGCTCAGGAAAAGCAGTCACCTACCCCACAGTCTCAGTCTCCTGCACGAAGGCAGAGTTTTACTGAGGTGACTCTGAGAGGATAAAGGTCATTCCAGTGTGCAAAGGAGGTTCCTTGGGCTGCACAGTGCTATGAGTTAATATAAAGTTCTAAATAATCAGACTCTATGTGTCCAACTGAATGAAACAAAATCCTGTTTGTTAATTTAGTGCTATTATTTATAACTGATTGTATTTTAGTATCGTTAACATAGACTGGGACATATTTTGAGCTAGATGATGGGCAATTTAGGCTAACTATTGGATCAAATCATTTAATAAGTAGGTATATGTTGCATCAAACCATTAGACAAGTATATGTTGTATCAAACTAGTTATAGGTTTTTCACACAGGACAAATTAATATTTTTTTCTAGTAGCATCCTACAGAATATAGTCAGTACCCCAGGATATTCCATTAAATATGAATATTGGATTTGGAAGACAAGAGAAATTTAAACAAAGAGCTGTGCTTTATGTTGAAGCTCTTCTGTATTTCTGAGCTGGTGCCTTTGTAAATGAGGCTGCTTTTCAACACAATCCTGTTAAGCTGTGAAATTCTCTGTTCAGAAAGGCTTTATTTAGCAATAGCCTTTGGCCACTGCTTATCCCTGGTTTCCTGCTTACATTCTTTACCTGCTCTTAATTATTGCCTTGGGCTTTGCCTGCCTGTCTCTGTAGGATATGAAAAAATACTCTGCAAATAATGAGGGAATCAGCAAGCAAGTTTATAACTGTATAATTAATAATGGATCCTGACTACTGGGGGACATTTTGTTATACAGAACTGCATTCGTGAGAAGCAATTTGAAAATTAAAATATAATCTGAGTAATACACAAAATTGTGCTGTAGGGGATGATTGTGCCTTAGCCAGGTGATAAATTAGACAATTTAATCATTCCTGTAGATTATAGCTTCTGTTATTCAAATAAAAACCAAAATCATATGGCCTTATGGTTTTAAAAAACGCTTAACTTGACCTTATTACTCAACAATAAAAACATGAAGAAAAAAACTGTTTCCCTCAAATAGGCAACATCTTTAAAAAATCATTTTCATTTTGCCTATAAAGACCATAACATCCTGTTTCTTGGATTAGGGCAATAATAAATCAATTTAGTCACTTGAAAGTACCATTTTGCCTGGAAACATATGGAGTTAATATTGTTAATAAGCTTCTTAAAAAATCCTTTCCTTTAAAAAGCCAAGCATACCCTGTTCAGGGTATAGCTCTGGTTACCTGTGCTGATGCAGCAAACACCGAGTGAGGCTTGAAAGACAGGAGCAATATTAGGATTCTTTTGTCATTTTGGCCTAGTTAATTTCTATCTAACTTCAACCATCTCAATTTAAGTGTTCCATTTGTAATTTGCCTTTTTGACTGAATGCAAAGCCAAAAATCCAGCCCAAGTACTGCTCCTGCTTCTGGGATGTTCCATGTCCTGCCCCAGTGGAGGCCTTACCTTGTTCCCGTAGAGGGCTCACCAAGTCGTGGCAGTGCTGCTGCTCCTCATGCACAATTTCCTCCTCACTGACAGCCTGGCAGGGCTGTGCTATAGGCATGGTGAGCTTTTCCCACTCTTTCCTCTGCTTATGAAATCCTAGTTTAAACAGAGTGATCCCTGGTTTTATTGTCCCACTCCCACAATATTCAGTAGGAAGGCACTTACTTTACAACACTTTGTGGGGTTCACTGCAGTGAAATATTGAATTTATACCTTTGAAACATCTTAGTGAGGAGGGAGAGAGTTTAATTTGAATGGATTAAAGCTGAGTAACAACTGTTCTTGGATGCACAAAAATCAACAGGAGGAGATTTCTATGGTTCTGCTACCTATTAGAATTTACATACAAGAATAAGTCAAACATTGACTGGCATCACATAAAATGAAGCTGGAAGTTAGGAAGTTGTTTGCAATCACTGAGGGAGTGAGGTTTTGAAAAAGTCTCACGGCATGCAAGGAAAATTCCACTTTTAGATTCCTGTTTATATGGCTTAGGGAGAGTAATGTGGTATGAATCTAAACCAGTAAGGGTTTGGATTAGATATCATGACCCACACACTTATACTTCCTACACTCACATCAGACCATGGGATCTTAACTGCATTAATATGTCCAAAGTTTTGGAAAGAAATAGGGAAAGTTAGAAAAAAAAGTTACAAATTATTACAAATCTGAGAGTTTAGACAGAAGAATTAGTCACAAAAATCATTAGGTTTTTGTCTGTTGTCAATTGCTATCATAAAACTCGCTATTAATGCTATTTCAGTCACTTATTTCAGCTGTAGATTCAGTCTGATGTGGCTCCATTGTGCCTGGATGAATGGAAACTGCTGTGACGTAGATACTTTGAAAGAAATGTGAGCACTACAAAGAGAATTTTAGTCTCAGTTCATCTTCTCCCTCTATTGTGCTCTGTATTCATCCCAAGAGTAGAAAAGTTCTTCCAATTACCTATTCATATACTGATCTGTGAATAGTACAACTGTACTTCTATATATGTTCTCCAAATGTCTGGGCTGAATAGTTTATTTCGTCTGAGTTGTAATTATTCATCTCAGCATTTGGCAATGTTTTCAAGTGGTTTTAACTTTCCTGATTCAATGTGTCATCAGGTTTAAAAAATAGAGATTTCTTTGGACAATCTGGATACTGAAAAATTTGGTTGGCTCACTGGGTGGAAAATGGCTTCTGACCTTCACAACTAACTTGTAGTCAACTACTTTAGAACATTTTAAAAATTCAGGTTAATGTGAAGTAATAAAATAAAAGAAAAACGTAAAGAGAACGGATGTGAAGTTGGGAAATAAATTGAGGTCAAAGCTAGGATCTTACTTTGAAGAAATACAATTACACTCTAGAAGGATAGAAGTGGGAAGGGAAGGTTGGTTTGGGGAGGCCACATGTAGAATAAAGTGGGTAGAAAAAGGGTTGTAATAGAAAGCCAAGAGATCTGTTGAAGATCTCATTTGAGTCAATCACTACCTGAGGACCATTTTCATGAACTGTGAATGATCTTCCAAAATATTTTCCATTGTGTGTATATGAATCTAAACTAGAACCTAAATTTTTAAAATGTGCACTGCACATAAAACCTGAGCAGTTTTGCTCCGGTTTTTGTATCTAAGATATACAGTCTGAAAAAAATCAAGTGTTCAGGTACAATCCACCTGTCATTGATAGTCTACATTTCTCTCCTCCTACCCAGAAATTTTACACATTTTTTGATGACATGAAGGACTTTTTTTGCTTTCTGTGTATGAAAAAATGAAAACATTTCTGAGTAAATAATTTCTGAGAAAATTTCTGAGTAACTTTTCTGAGAAG